TTCAAAAAATAAATTTGATGGTTGAATTTCAGTTTTGAACACAATCGGGAAGATCACCAGAATGCACTTGGAATCGCACTAGCTAAGTTATTTTTTGGCTTTCAATAAAATTAATTAGCATCAACTGAAATGTAATATCTTCCATGAACCAGGGCATTTGGATAATATTATAAGATGCATTATTTCTTTTCAATTAAAATGTATTCCTGAATCTACTTGAGGCCACAGTTGAAGCACTGTGAGCAGTTCATCAAAACTTTGAAAGGATATATTGTTTTTCAGAATGCAGCATAGAGTGACCAAAATGATACCAATTACTGGTAAGGTTAAATTACAAGGGGATCACACAATTAGGAATGAAATTAGAAAATGGCCCAAAAAGTGCAGTGCAATTTTGGAACTCCCTTCTATAAATGGAAATTGATGCTGAATTAACTAGAAGTTGATGGCTTTTTTATTAACTGAAGGTATTAATGAACAGGATGCAGAGACACTAATAAAACACTAGTTCATAGATCAGTCATTATTTTATCAAATAATAGGCTACGTAGGCTAAGGTGCAAATCTTAGATTTTGTTTTGGCTAAGTGCAAATTTCATGGATCTTTTTGGAGGTATTCTCAGTGCAGGGCCCATGTGATTTCTTACCGCATCTTACCAAACCTATCTCATTAATGGCCTACCTCACCCTGATGGTGTTCTTCTCATCAGATTCCATCCCCACTTCACCATATGCTGTTCACAGAGCAACTTGCCATTCAGTGGACATCTGCTGAAAGACTAGCATCACTTGTACCTGCATCATCTTTGAGAGGCCACTGCTGAACACCTGGACAAATGTTGGTAATCTGCTGATGCCCCTCATTTGCAATGTAATGGCACAGCAGCCACAAAGCCACACTTCTGATAGCATCAAACTCAACACAGTATGATGCTGGAAGAACACAGCAGGCCAGGCAGCATTAGAGGAGCAAAATCGGGACCCTTCTTCAGAAACCTGGCCTACTGTGTTCCTCCAGCTCCACACTGTATTGTCTGACTCCGGCATCTGCAGTTCTCACTATCTCCCACTGCTGACAACATGTAGCCGACATGCCTGATACTCCCCTTGCACATACAACATCATTCTCTCACTCTAGTTCTTGTTTAACCTTGATGCCACGCAGTTTACCTGCCCTTAGCTACGTCCCACCTGAAGATCCTCTTTGAGTACCTGCTAATCTTTCCCCAATGGTCACCCACATGTTGTCTGTGAAGGGCCATCACATATAGGCAAGAATTCAGACAAGTGCAAACATGAGCTTTCACTGACAGCCAGCAAATGGGAACACAAAGGAAACTAATACAGACCACAGTTTGCATCCATAATGCAAAACAAATGCTGGTATATTGACCTTGACGATGCATGATGGTCTTCTGCACCCAGCTCACATCTAAAAGAATTGAGTGTCAATAAGGCCTATCTGCCCAATGCAGTTGAACTCTGTCATCCACATGGAGAGCTTCCTCCAGCTCAATGTCCTCACTCTTCTCCTAGGATGACTGTTCCCATTCCCCTGGCTTCTCAGTATCTATCACATTGCCTTGTTCCCTGCTCCAATTGTACAGAGCACAGCCTACCAGGATACTGTGGCACGTTCTATCTGGGCTATACCGGAGGGATGCCCCAAGACCGTTCCAAGTTTAGGAACTGCCTCTTCAGGAGTTCTATTGTGTCCCACCATGGTTCTGGTCACAGAAACCAACTTGGTGAAGGTGCTGTTGCAGCTCAGCGACCACGACATTGAATCAAAAAGTGAGTGCCTGTTTCTTTCCATTCCATCTCAGATTCACTTCAACCATTCCACTTTCCATTGCATTCATTAGAGTTTGCAATCATAGTGACATGACTGCAGCCATGTCCCCTGTTCCCATAGAACACTTGAAAGTTCCAAAAGTGATAGGGTGGCTTTGACCAGTGTTCATACCCCTTTTAAGTTATTGCTGCTAACTCTTGCAGCACTGAGATGACAATGTCCTTTTGTCCAGCACCAATGGCTTAGTGCAAAATACATTTGACCAGAATTTGATGCCACACCATGTTCACTCTGTATTCATAGCGCAAAAGTGGAGAGATGTTTGCAAATTAAATGATCACTGCCAAAAGGGTTGGGGGAGTCAAGATGAGGGTTGGCAGAAGGGAAAGCAACAGCGTTTGCAGAGGTGGGAACAAGGATGGTAATGGGGACATTCTCAAGGTGTACTGGGGCATGTGCAACAGCACCAGAGGGGATGGTAGGCTATGGGAAGGGAGATTAATGGTAATGACTGCTACCATGATGTCCAGAAAGGGAGTGTAGAGGAAAAAGATAGACATCACTAAGGTATAATGCCAAGGTTCAGTAGGCAGGAAGGACAGTTGGAGGAAAAGTTCAATGTGGTGGGTCTCCACATTGTGGGGATGGTTGGAAATGGGCTGTTGGAGTAGAACAATACACCAAAGGAATGCAATGGTGAGTAGCTTGGAAGGGAATGGGAAGATGGTAACATTCTCATGACTCTCCTGCCATTCTCCTTCCAGACGTGCTCTTGTAGCCATTGTATTTATATGGCTAGTCCATTTCAGTTTCTGGTTAATGATAAACGCCAAGATGTTAGTGGGGAATTCAATGGTGGTAATGACATTTAACGTTACCAGTAATGATTAGATTCTCCATTGTTGGAGAAGGTCATTGTCTGACACTTGTGAGGCATGAATGTCATTTGTCACTTTTGTGCATTTGAACATAGACTGGTTCAGTATCTGAGGAGTCGTGAATGATGCTGACTTTGTGAATAACCAGTGAACATCCAAATATAATGCCAATTTCTGCGTGGTTCCTATTGTTCACAGTTTTGCAGACCATGCTGTGCTATGTCTCTGATTTGACTTTGTCACTGAGAAGCAAGTCATTGTTTCATTCTCTTTTCCAAAGTAGTCAACGGGGGATAAATTATGAGTAATGAAGGCAGAATGGAAACTTTTTGCAATGTCAGGTATTGTTTTGTAGGGTCAGTTGTTGGGTTGAGGTGTTACTGGGATGTATCTGCACTAATATCTAATCTGCCACTAATATCCATTAAAAAACACACCGACTCCCACAGCTACCTGGACTATACATCTTCACACCCCACTTCCTGTAAAGACTCCATCCCATTCTCTCAGTTCCTCTGTCTCTGTCGCATATGTTCAGATGAGGCCAACTTCAACAAGGGAGCCTCCGAAATGTCCACATTCTTCCTCAACTGAGGATTCCCCAGCTCCGTTGTCGACAGGGTCCTCAATCGGGACCGACCCATCTCCCGCACTTCTGCCCTCACCCCTTCTCTTCCCTCCCGCAACAGCAATAGGGTTCCCCTTATCCTCACCTATCATCCCACCAGCATCCACATCCAGAAGATCATCAGACGCCATTTCCGCCACCTCCAGCAAGATGCCACCACCAGACACATATTCCCCTCCCCTCCCTTGTCTGCCTTCCGCAGGGACTGTTCCCTACGGGACACCCTGGTCCATATTTCCTTCACCCCCAACACCTTCCCACAGCCCTACGGCACCTTCCCCTGTAACCGACGAAGGTGCAACACCTGCGCACTTATCTCCTCCCTCCCCAGTATCCAAGGGCCCAAACATACCTTCCAGGTGAAGCAACACTTCACCTGCACTTCCAAGAATCTAGTCTACTGCATTCGCTGCTCACAATGTGGTCTCCTCTACACTGGGGAAACGAAGCGTAGACTTGGCGACTGCTTCGCAGAACATCTACGTTCTGCTCGCAAAAAAGACCCTGAACTACCTGTTGCCTGCCACTTCAATGCACCACCTTGCTCCCTGGCCAACATCTCTGTCTCCGGCTTGCTACAATGTTCCAGTGAAGCCCAGCGCAAGCTGGAGGAACAACACCTCATTTTCCCCTTGGGTACCCTACAGCCCTCCGGACTCAATATTGAGTGCAATAATTTTAGGGCCTAAACTCTCCCATGTCCCAGCCCCCCACCCCACACACCAGGCCTTGTTACCACATAGCTTGCCACTACACACCCCCTGTTGTTAGTCACTAACAGTCCCCATTAACAACTACTCACCCTCCCAGCCTGATCGTTAGCAACTCCTTTGTCTGTCCAACTGTCTTTCTCTCTCTTTGGGGTCTATCCTATCGTTTACTCCCTACCCCACCCACCTCCCTATTTTCTGCATATAAACTGATGTTTTCCCAGCCACCATCAGTTCTGAGGAAGGGTCACAGGACCCGAAACGTTAACTCTGTTTTCTCCTCCATGGATGCTGCCAGACCTGCTGAGCTTTTCCAGCAACTTTGTTTTTGTATCTGCACCCCCACTGCTGCAGGGGAGCTGTGGGGGGAATATCCAGTCATGATCACTGAGTTGCATATGTTAAACAGCCCAAACAATAGTTTCGATGAAGGTATCAGACGAAACCAAGAACTTAAGTAGATATATATCTGTGGCAATTATAAAGAGAGGGTAGCCGTCTACTAACGCTCCTCCACACAACCATTCCAGGATGTGTCAGCACCTTTCTTATGGATTGCACTGTGGCCAGCAGAAACAGTAGCTGTAAGAAGGCAAAAAGGCCTGGAATTCAGGTCTGCATTTATATTTACTACAGGCAGAGAGATGACCAGGGACCTTCACAGTAGATAGGAACAGAATCTCATCTCCACATAATGAGAAGATATGGGAAAGACCTGACAGTGTGATCATACCCCATTTCCATTGTTCTTTGATTTAAGTTGAGGAAAATGCAATCCAAGCTATTCACTTGAACAAATAACAAATTGCTGTAAGTGCTCTATATTTTCAACATTTGTAAAAAAGGGTGAATTTTGTCAAATAAATGTTCATCTTAAGCAAGAACATCATATAAGATGTCAAACGGTTGAACTCATGAACATTTTGATGAAAATGGACATCATTTGAAAATGCATTTCAGAATCATGCAAGAGAAGAACTTTAACCAAATACATTTGACTTGTAGCATTTATTTAGTCATTTCCCCAGAGCAGCCTCAGCAACAAAAGTGTCTCTTCAATCTAGGGCGAAACGTAATCCATGATTGATGACAAACTTTTTTCTGTACATTGAACAAGATGATTTTTAAGATGATTATACTTTCTTTAAGACATTATTAAATATTGCCTTAGAAAATCCTCTGGCTTTAGCAATTTTCCTAAGGACATGAAATTCTGTAGACTGAGATTTCTCACTACAAAACTAACATTCTGTACAATTAATTCCAACAATGCACCAGAGAAATATGTATATTTCACAGAATGAATTCTGTGGGTTTATTGGATAAATTGATTGCAATGCACAACTGACAACTACTTGTTTTGATTCAGGGAAAACGAGTGAAGAACATTTGGTGAATTTCTTTGCACAACGCACATGATGGACAGGTTGATGCCATGCCATGACTGAAATCGGATCTCTGAAGGAGGTGAATCAAATTATTGACATTGTTTCAGCCTGGAATTGCTCTGAAAAGCGGCTGCATCTCTTTCTGCAGCATCAAACAGCCACATTCTCCAGCAGGCCATCCTGAGTACTGAGTGGAGACAGCTTGAGATCAGAATTCAGATTGCCACACAGCAGTGGATCTTTCCTCAATTTCTTGGACTGCAATGAGTCATCAGCCGGACGAATGTGGTGAAGAATGCGCTACAGGAGAAAAATATATTCATGTATTTGTAACCAACATCTGAACATATCATTGGCAGGTGCTGATGGCAGTGATTTTACATGTTGTGTGTACTTTAATACAGTGAATAAGCAAAAGGGTTTAGCTTCAATGTCCCACATGATACTCAATTTAGTTGGTGATTTTAGTGTAATGTTCAATGTATCTTTTATGACTTTCCAGATGCTGATTGTAACAGACATAAAAATCACGCAGGACTTTCTGACTCTCGTGTCATGAGTCCCAGTGAGGACTCACAGAATACAAAACAATGCACCAAGAGCACTGACTCCTCATTTTCTAGTTGAGACTGGAGTCACCCCAATGATCCCCATTCCCTTTTCCTGCCTTAGATCTGACTTTTCAAACATTATCTGGCTCATGTTTCGAGACTTAGGACCTGATTTTTCTTCTAAAGATGCACATCTTAATGTGTTTTGACATGTATACTTCATATGAGACTATAACCATGAAGCAAGTGCTCTGCTGTCATCAACTGTAAAGAAAATCAGCTACTTGCAGCTTATCTCAAAGATTGAACTGATTAAGCCTTCGTGCAACACTCACGCAACACTGCTAAAATCAACCAGAGTGCTTGACAGCAACAGAGCTGAAACAACCAGATTCATAACATCATTTGTGTGCTGCTGGGAATCAGTTAGATCACATTACAAAGTAACCTGTCAAACTTGAATTCTTTAAGAAGACAGATATTCTGGTGCCTAACTTAAATCACCCTTGGGGAGTGAATGACAGAGCATGGAGAAATATTCCAGCCACATGAATTTCAATGAACTGGGCAGAGGGAGTTTGCATTCTTCATCTCTTGTTTGAATGTCCCAGTGGCAGGAGCAGAAAGACATGGGACCTCCACTCAAAGGCCAAACAAGTGGCTACACAAAAGCACACAATGAATTAGCTATAGAAAGATGAGAGGCCTGGTTAGTCACGTGGAAGTTATCAGCTCTACCATTACTCCATGGAGATTAAAGGTACAGGTGTCATCATTCGACATCACCCACACAGGCATCAACTTCCTGCCACCTAGCAACATCTTTCAGGTTGGTTTTCAATGAAAATGCTGCCATTCCCTTTTTGAACTGTCTCCCAGGATCCCTGGAATTGGTGCTGTCCAATCCCTCACCCCACTCAAAAGTAGTAGACTCCCTCCTGAAGTCTTGAAAGTCTTGAACACCACTCCAAACCTACCCATTGAGCTCAGTTATCTGCTGTTACTCCATTCAATTACTGTAGAATGCCCTTATGCAGACAATGAGGGCCCCACAATGTAGCAATGCCTCCTTGAATATTCTCCCCAGGTCTTCTGGGAAAGGCAGGAGGCTCTGTTCTTCAATGATGGCAGGAGCCACAAGCGAATCTGGGACCAGTTTCACAAAAGGGTCAATGACCTCCTGCACTTTACAAAGTTAAGTACCATGGTACCACTGCAAGGGCATCCACAAGGCAAAGTGAGATAGATATTTGCCAGGATGGAGTTTGGGTTCAAGGCCTCAGCATTAGATGGTAAATATAAACTGAATATGTAGGAACCAATTCATGCTCTGGAAAGAATAACCACTGCAGGAACAGTTACTGGGGAAGTATCCAACTAGAAACTGTCATAGGCTTGCATGCTCATTCAAGCATTGTGACTACACTCAATATTTCTATCCACATGTAAGACAAAGGAAGGCATTAAAACACAGAAGAGGCAATGGCGCAGAGGTCCTTATAACTCTGGCATCCAATGTATGGTTCAATAAATGTGGTGGTCCATATGGGCTGTCACTCTTTCAATGAAGGGAGCCATATATATATACACACACGTCAGAGACTTAGCTCACCTGAGATCTGGATGGACTCCATCACTCGTGCAGATGCGTACATTGCAGTTCCAGCTTTTGCTCCCTTTTTGACTCTGGAGATATGTCATTAATCGAAAGCTGAACAACACTGCCCTCCCACACTGCTCCCAGTGTGACTGACCAAAGCTCTCCTTGCATTCATCAGCAGTTTGAGCACATCTTCATCAGCAGTTTGGGCACATCTATATAATGCTCACCACGTTTTGATCTTTTTGCTAGTCATGCAGAATTACCAACCAAAGTGAAAGTGTGGGGGTATGATTTGACCTTTCATCCTTTGAGATCTCTACCTCCTTCGCAGAGATACAAGGTTGTCCTATAGGGTCTATGACTGTATAGAGACCTGTGAGAGATAGATGAGTATTGAAGAGGGAACGTACTTTCCAATACATTCTTCTGACTACTGATCACCTGGAGTGCTACATGACCAATGGTGGACACATGAACACCATTTTTTGGGCCTACTACAGGGTTTTTGGTGCACATCCATTAGGTCGCTCACTTTCTTGGGGTTCCACACGTGTTTTTCCATCTAAGTTACATTCTCCTAGCTCTAACACCTCTTTTTCCATTGGCAAGAGGCTGTCCATTTAAGGCACACTACCTTGTTCTCTCACTGAGGCTCTCATATCCTTCTTATGCTATGGCGCCTAGCATTGTACTCCAGCTGCCAAGAATCTTGTATAAGTTCAGCATAACCACTTTGCTCTTGTACTGTCTGTGCCTCTATAAATACAGGATACTGTATGCTTTATTACCTATTCTCATCCTGTCTGGCCACCTCAGTGATGTATGCACACATACAATCATGTCCTACTTCTCCTTCACCTCCTTAAATATTCTACCTGCCATTTTATTTTGCCTGTCCATGCTCCTCCTGCCAAACTGCATTACCTCACACATTTCCACATTGAAATTCATCAGCCACCTATCTGCGCATTCCATCAACTTGCCTATATCATTCTGGAGTACTACACTGTTCTCATAGATTATAATGACTCTGCATTTCATATTACCCACAAACTTTGAAATTGTCCCTGCATATATATATATATATAAGGAAAAGCAAGGATCTTAATACTGACTCCTTGGAATTCCACGATAAACCCTCCCCTTTTGCCAAAACGTACGCATTACCCACCAAACTTTGCTTCCAATTAATCAGCCAATTTTGCAACCTCATTGTTACGGTTTCATTTCTTTCATGAATTTAACTTTACTCACACATCTGTTGTACAGCATTGTCAAATGTCTTTTGAAAGTTCATGTACAGTACATCAACAAAATTACCCTCATCAAACCTCACTGTTACCTCTTCAAAAAAAAATTCCAGCAAGTTAAACAAATAAGAAAATAAGTAGTTTGAAGCTGAGACAACACAGCATGGATGAACACAGCAGGCCAAGCAGCATCATAGGAGCAAAAAGACTGACGTTTCGGGCCGAGACCCTTCATCAGAAATGGGGGAGGGCAAGGGGGTTCTGAAATAAATAGGGAGAGAGGGGGAGGCGATTAGAAGATGGATAGAGGAGAAGACAGGTGGAGAGGAAACAGACAGGTCGAAGAGGCGGGGATGGAGCCAGTAAAGGTGAGTGTAGGTGGGGAGTTAGGAAGGGGATAGGTCAGTCCAGGGAGGACGGACAGGTCAAGGGGGCAGGATGATGTTAGTAGGTAGGAGATGGGGGTGCGGCTTGAGGTTCCTATACACCTGCATTCCCCATACAGATGGCCTAAAGGCCCTCCGCTTCTTCCTGTCCCGCAGGCCCGACCAGTCCCCCTCCACTGACACCCTCATCCGCTTAGCCGAACTCGTCCTCACCCTCAACAACTTCTCTTTCAATTCCTCCCACTTCCTACAGACAAAGGGGGTGGCCATGGGTACCTGCATGGGCCCAAGCTATGCCTGCCTCTTTGTAGGTTACGTGGAACAATCCCTCTTCCATACCTTCACTGGCCCTAAACCCCACCTCTTTCTCCGTTACATTGATGACTGTATCGGCGCCACCTCGTGCTCCCACGAGGAGCTCGAACAGTTCATCCACTTCAGCAACACCTTCCACCCCAACCTTAAGTTCACCCGGACAATCTCTAATACCTCTCTCTCCTTCCTGGACCTCTCTGTCTCCATCTCGGGCAACCACCTAGAAACCGATATCCATTTCAAGCCCACCGACTCCCACAGCTACCCAGAATACACCTCCTCCCACGCACCTTCCTGCAAAAATGCCATCCCCTATTCCCAATTCCTTCGCCTCCGCCGCATCTGCTCCCAGGATGAGGCATTCCACTCCCGTACATCTCAGATGTCCTCGTTTTTCAAGGACCGCAACTTCCCCCCCTCAGTGGTCGAGAACGCCCTCAACCGTGTCTCCCACATTTCCTGCAACTCATTCCTCACACCCCGTCCCCGCAATAACAACCAAAAAAGAATCCTTCTCGTCCTCACGTACCACCCCACCAACCTCCGGATCCAATGCATAATCCTCCGACACTCCGCCATCTGCAATCCGACCCCACCACCAAAGACATCTTTCCCTCCCCACCCTTATCTGCTTTCCGGAGGGACCACTCTCTCCGTGACTCCCTTGTCCGCTCCACACTCCCCTCCAGCCCCACCACACCCGGCACTTTTCCCTGCAACTGCAGGAAGTGCTACACCTGCCCCCATACTTCCTCCCTCACCCCCATCCCAGGCCCCAAGAAGACTTTCCACATCAAGCAGATGTTCACCTGCACATCAGCCAATGTGGTATACTGCATCCGCTGTACCCGTTGTGGCCTCCTCTACATCGGGGAAACCAAGCGGAGGCTCGGGGGCCGCTTTGCACAACACCTACGCTCGGTTCGCAATAAACAACTGCACCTCCCAGTCGCGAACCATTTCAAATCCCCCTCCCATTCCTCAGATGACATGTCCATCCTGGGCCTCCTGCAGTGCCACAATGATGCCACCCGAAGGTTGCAGGAACAGCAACTCATATTCCGCTTGGGAACCCTGCAGCCCAATGGTATCAATGTGGATTTCACAAGCTTCAAAATCTCCCCTCCCCCTACTGCATCCCAAAACCAGCCCAGCTCGTCCCCGCCTCCCTAACCTGTTCTTCCTCCCACCTAGC